TGTTCCATTTGCTGCTGAAAGCCCAAATGAAATTTTCTTACGGGACATCTCACAAACTGCGCGGGTACACACATACATCGGATCCAGTGTCTATCAAAACTCACATTTGTCTTCTTATCTGTGATGAAAATGCGGGCGTGAGTTATTTGGGCGTTTGTCACTAGTCGCCATTAGTGACCGCCCGTATCGTTTCCCGACTTAAAATTACATGGCGATATACACCTCCTCGCATGACTTCCGTAGCGTCTATGAAACCGACATAAGTTATCTTGTCGTCTTCTAAACGACACTTCCTTCTTATGATACATTTGAATCTTATCCAAACGCTTTGAAACAGCTTCGATATCTTGACGCAATTGACGCAGATCAGCATTCTTTGTTTCAATCTCAGAGGTTTGTGCATCTGTAATCACAGCTACACGCTGCTGTGAATGGTTAATAAATAAGCGGTCAGCTAGTTCACCTATCTCTTGAATTGACTGTGTTCCAGAAGAAATCTCCAAAAATGGTTGAATTTCCACTGGAAGTCTGGATAACCATATGGCTTTAACTGCGTTATCGGTCATCGAAGTCCCGACTAAAGTCCTCAAATGACGTAGGTATTGAGAAGGCGTCCTATCACCCAAATCTACATCAGACATAAACAACTGCAACTTTGACTTCTCCGAAGTGCCTAACCTTGAAATTAACGCAGCTTTTAATGTAGAATAAGGCTTCTCTTCAGGCTCATTGATTATTAAATCTCGCACTTCGGTTGAATGTCTAATATCCAACCTGGTAACCAATAATCCATATTTCTCCTTCTCATCGTGGATATTGGAAGATGCGAATGCCTTCTCTACCAAAGCAAACCAAAGTTGCAAGTCATTTGGAATAAATTCAGGAATGTGCAGTTTGTGGCAGCTAAAATGTCCGTGTTGGCGCGGCATAATATCAAACGACAGGAGTCACCACTATCGGAAATCAAACAATTTGCCGATTAATAAAATATTTATTCATTTATACCATGATAAATTTCATGAATTTATTTGAACCAAAACTTTACAAGTTCAAAACAAATGATCCAACAAAAACCCATGTCAATTATTATTTTTGTGTCGCTTACTAAAATTGACGCGACCTGCCAATCTCCCACATATTTTTATTTCTATTTTTCTTGGTTGCAAATATGAATTTCGATAATTTGTGATTTGATTTATGATTATAGTACTGAATCCTAGTTAGCACTATAATCTTTCCAAGGGAGATGGTGTTGTGCCATCTGACACTTATGTTCACCGTCCTGAAGTTTGAAAGTGTTGAAGATTAATACTAAACGCTCTGTGTCTACTATGTTTATGTATATATGTTTGTCTTTTGTTTTTATGTAAAACAAGTGATTGTTAATAATGTTTGTAATGAATGTGATTAGTTAAAGAATATATAATCAGTCAGTCTGTTTTTTATCCTTCTGCATAAACGGTTGTATTATTATTCACATAAACTTTCAACATAAATTCTACAGGTTATGGGCCCAGATCCCATGTTTTTTTAAGTTTATTGAATAACAGTTTAGTGCCTTTTTAATCATTATGTCGTCGGGATACTTGGTGAATGTACCAAAGTTAAAAGGACGTGAAACATATGACGATTGGGCGTTTGCAGCAGAAAATTTTCTAATCTTAGAAGGTTTAGCGGAATGCATTGTAGAGCCAAAGCACGAGGCAGAAATTGATGTGATCAAGGATAAAAAGGCGAGAGCAAAATTGATATTAACATTAGATACAAGTTTATATGTACATGTAAAGAAACAAAAACCTCAGCCCAGCTATGGTCCAAATTAAAGGCGATGTATAGTGATTCAGGTTTCACTCGAAGGATTAATCTCTTACGGACATTAATTTCTACTAGATTAATTAATTGTGAATCCATGAGCTCATATGTCAATCAAATAATAGAAACAGGGCAGAGATTGAGGGGAACAGGATTTAATATTGATGATGAGTGGATAGGCTCTTTGCTCTTGGCAGGATTGCCGGAAAAGTTTTCGCCGATGATTATGGCGATTGAGCATTCCGGTATAGCCATTACAACGGACACAATAAAAACGAAGCTGCTGGATATAGGCAACGATGTTGCAGTTAATAATGATGAGAGCGCCTTTGTAGCAAAACAAAATGGCAGGTACAAGCAGCGCCAAGTTTCAAACTCCAACAATTTTGATACTAAAAAGGAAGTTAGGTGTTTTAAATGCAAAAGACTTGGTCATTATAAAAATAAATGTCGTTTCAATAATGTGAATAATGAGCCTGATAAAAATGAATTTAACAGAGTTTTTTCAACTGGTAGTTATAATAAAACAGATTGGTATGTTGATTCTGGAGCCAGTATTCATCTTGTGAATGACAATAACAATTTAAGAGAATACAACAAGAAACCTGATGTGCAGGAAGTAAGGACAGCTAACAATATGCAATTGAAGGTAGTGTCTTGTGGCAGCGTTTCTCTTAGGACAGCGGTTTATGGTCAAGTTTATGATGTTGAAGTACAGGATGCTCATTATGTACCACAATTGTCAGCAAATTTATTATCTGTTAGCGCTCTTACCAGAAAGGGTAACAGGGTTGTTTTCAATGATAATAAATGCAAAATTTATAGCAAAAATAACACTTTGGTTGCAGTGGCGGTACTTACAGGTGGAGTATATAAACTTATGATAAATAATATTAATTGTTTGTTAGTTACAGATCCTAAGTCAGGAAATTTATGGCATAGACGGTTAGGACATATAAATAAAACAGATTTGTGTAAATTGAGTAAAGGCTTGGTGAAAGGACTCACCATATCCGAGAAGGCAACATCAGACATAAATAATTGTATAGTTTGTTGTGAAGGAAAGCAAACTAGATTGCCATTCAAACACAAAGGTTCAAGAGCAGTAAAAGTTCTGGAATTAGTTCACTCTGATGTTTGCGGTCCAATGGAACAGTTATCTATAGGTGGTTCGCGATATTTCTTGAGTTTTCAAGATGACTATTCAAAGATGTGTTTTGTTTATTTTTTAAAGTCAAAGGATGAAGTTCTTCGTTGCTTCAAAGAGTTTAGGGCTGTCGTTGAAAAGCAACAGGGTATGCCAATTAAAACACTAAGAACTGATAACGGTGGCGAATATTGTAATAAAGTATTTCAGGAGTATTTGAAAGAAAATGGTATTATTCATCAAAGAACAAATCCATATACACCTGAACAAAATGGGATTGCTGAAAGACTAAATGGACTTTGGTAGAAAAGGCCAGATGTCTAATATTTGATGGTCAGTTAGATAAGAAGTTCTGGGCAGAGGCTGTTAATACAGCAGCATATTTGAAGAACAGAAGTGTAACAAGTGATCTAACAAAAACACCTTTTGAATTATGGTGGAAGAAAAAACCTGATGTTAGTCACATTAAGATATTTGGAAGCGTTGTAATGGATCATGTACCGAAGCAGAAAAGATCAAAATGGGACAGAAAATCTGTTAGAAAGATTTTGATCGGATATGCAGACAACGTTAAAGGATATAGATTATTTGATCCAGTCACAAATAAAATTTCCACAAGTAGAAATGTAGTTATTATGGAAACTATTGACGACGAGCCTAGCAAGAACCCAATAGAACCAGTAGAGAACAGTGTTTCAGTGGGGGTTAATGAAATGCAGCCTGTAACTGAAGAAAAGGATCAAAATGCTGGCAGTGATCATGAACAAAATATTATAGAAATACGAAAGTCTGAAAGAACAAGAAAGAAGAAAACGTTTGATGATTATGTCACATATGCGTGTAACAACTTTCCAATGGAAGAACCAAAAACAATTAAGGAAGCAATGTCAAGACCAGACAAGCAATATTGGATGGACGCTATAGCTGAAGAATTAAAATCTTTCGAGGAAAATAAGGCCTGGGAGTTAGTGAATATGCCAGAAAACTGTAGTATAGTGGACTGCAAGTGGGTTTTTAAACGAAAAGTAGATACTGAAAACCAAGTACGATATAGAGCTCGGTTGGTAGCTCGAGGTTTCACTCAACAGTATGGTGTAGATTATGATGAGACTTTTTCTCCAGTCGTTAGGCATTCAACCTTAAGATTATTAATGGCTTTATCAGTAAGATTAGGATTAAGCATAACGCATTTAGACGTCACAACAGCTTTTCTGAATGGACATTTAAAAGAATTGGTATATATGAAGAAACCAGATGGCTATAGAGATAACAGTAGCAAAGTATTGAAATTAAACAAAGCTGTATATGGTTTGAAACAATCGTCTCGAGTTTGGTATCAAAAGGTTGAGACAGTTTTACTTGGGCTGGGTTACAGAAAATCTAAGTATGAACCATGCATGTTTATAAAAGGTAATAATAATACTATGACTGTAATAGCATTGTATGTTGATGATTTTTTCGTTTTTTCAAATGATATAGCTGAAAATAGTAAATTGAAGACCGAATTGAATTTAAAGTTCAAAATCAAAGATTTAGGTAAAGCCAAATGTTGCTTAGGAATCAGGATCAATTATGAAAAAGATGGTAGTATAATATTGGATCAGGAGAGGTATATAGATCAACTACTAAATAAATTCAATATGCAAGATTGCAAACAAGCAGGTACACCTATGGAAAGTGATTTGAAATTGTCTTCAGGTAAAATTGAACAGGAGTTACCCTATCAACAACTCATTGGAAGTCTAATGTATTTAGCTGTTATGACAAGACCTGATATTGCGTATAGTCTGAGTTATCTTAGCCAATTTAACAATTGCTATGATAGCAGTCACTTCAAAAGTGCAAAGAGGGTGCTAAAGTATTTGCAGGGCACTAAGAAGTATGGCTTAAAATTTAAGAAGGATTCAGAGAATCTAGTAGGATATACTGATGCAGACTGGGCAAGTGACAACGTTGATAGAAAATCATACACAGGTTTCTGTTTCAAATTCTCCAATAGTATTATATCTTGGGAAAGCTCTAAACAGAAAACTGTAGCATTGTCAAGTACAGAAGCCGAGTACATGGCAATATCAGATGCTTCCAAAGAAGCGATATACTTAAAAAATTTGTTAATGGAGTTAACGGATGTAGATGAGAGTGTACGTATTTACAATGATAACAAGTCAGCGCAAAAACTCTCATACAATCCAGTTTTCCACAAAAGATCAAAACACATTGATGTGAGACATCATTTCATCAGGGAAGCAATTGCAGATGGTGTGATCGATCTAAAGTATATACAGACAAATGATATGCCTGCTGATATATTCACGAAGAGCTTAAGTGTACATAAGCATTTGAAGTTTTTAAAGCTGTTAGGTATGAGTACACAAGTTGTTTAGTATAGTGGGGGTGTTGAAGATTAATACTAAACGCTCTGTGTCTACTATGTTTATGTATATATGTTTGTCTTTTGTTTTTATGTAAAACAAGTGATTGTTAATAATGTTTGTAATGAATGTGATTAGTTAAAGAATATATAATCAGTCAGTCTGTTTTTTATCCTTCTGCATAAACGGTTGTATTATTATTCACATAAACTTTCAACATAAATTCTACATTCGACAGATATCATTGCTCTGGCAACACAGTACGCGAGGCTTTGGGAAGAACAAACATGATTGCTATGGCAACCCAGGACGCCAGGTTTTTGAAAAAAAGAAGCCGGCTAACTCTCTCTGATTTGAACCGCCATAACACATACATCGTATACAAGAACTATTAATTTCCAATACTATATTTTTTGTGAATAAACTATATTATAAAGATTACCAGATTTATAAATTTCCACGCTAAAGGCACAACACTGTTATCAACATCTGGTTTTTGAAACATAGTAAAATTCCGAGAATAGCAAAATGGCGTTGGCGTCGTGTTTCGTTTGGTTTAAATTTATTTATTATTATATTTCAATTTCCATTTGTGTAA